AGCGTCGAGTAGGTACGTCTGGGGTGGTGGTGCCGCCCGCTGTCCGTAGATGCCCGCAAAAGATCAAAATGCACGTCTAATACAATCAATATGAACAGCTGATAGCGCACAGACGCGAGTCGCACAGCTAATTTTTTCCCTGCTATTATTACAATATTTGCCTCGCAACCTGGACAAGGTAAGTCGATTTTGATAAGCATACATCTTCCAAACCTTTTCAGCCAAATCTGCTGTTCTTAAGCGGTTTTTAGCTTCGATGTTTGTTTTGCAGCCACTTTCTTCTTGATAATTTTCTGCATGCCTTAATTTTATAACTTCCAGCAATTTATGCACTTTTCATCAAAACTTTTGTCTGTTTTTTTTGCTTTTCACTAGCTGTGAACCAGTTGTTTTCCTTTTATTGAAACAATTGGTGCCGTGGCTAATAAAGTAGCATAAATTAGTATGGATCGAATTAGTAAAAGTCTTGAAATTTTGTATATTTTTCAATGCATCTCAAATATTTTCTTTGCACGCCATTTTACCTCCAAAAGCTAAGTTCTTATAATCACTAGAAAAAAATTGCCATGCATGTGTTTTTTCATATCGCTTTGCAAAACATTTGCCCTACTTGTAACTTGTGCTGCAAACGTCCAGCTCTATAGTTCGCGACACAGGCAGTGCGCTATCCGCAATAATATTGCCGTTCCAGATATCGCCCTCCTTGAGTTTATAATTGTCAAGTGGTAGCTGCATGTACTCACAGGCGAGACTCGGCTATAATAAGGCTGCTTACTAGTTTCAACATATTAGCTTGAGGACCTTTCCATCTACCTCATGCACCTTTTTCTTGCTCACAGTTTTGAACATTGTCTATAGCGCAGTGGCTGTGCGCGCCGCTGACGCGGTCATTGCGAGTTCGACGACGGGAGATCGCGGAACTTTTTGCGGCGGGCGGCCAACGTCCGTCGTGCCCAAATTGTGACGCCTTTTGAGCGGTCATGACCGCGTTTTCTTTGAGTTGTGACGACTTTGGGGGATAATTACTATTGGCCCAGGAGTATAATGGTAAATCTTCAGCCCTCTACAAGCCTAGTTTTCGAGAAATATTGATTTAGTACTGATTTATTAGGTTGGTGCAAAAGTAATGGCCAATTTTCCAAACCTTTTTTTAGGGCAACTTTTTTTCCATCAATACTTCTTCTTTACTATAGATGTAGTATATCTTCGCGAAGCTGCTTCCATGCTCTATCTAATGGTGCTTGAAACGTGCTCTCATCCTACTCTGTTATAAAGTTACTGAGCTTCAAATAACCGCATCAATTCAGAATTTCATTGCTTTCACTGTTCCGGCCAGAATTCAAGCGCGTATCAATGGGATTTCGTATAAAAATTTAGCTATTGTATGTAATAGAAATTGTCTACATTATGCATACTTGACTGTGTTCTGTGAGGCCATACAGACTGAGATATCGGCGCCTAAACATGGGTAGCTGTTGCAGTCATTTTATGACCCATAATTTTCTTCTGAAGAAGTCAATCGCCGGAGCTTTGCTCAATTCTGTAGGCGTAGGGCTAGGGCATCCTGTTAGCAGTTTTTGCAAAAACATCCAGCTGTTCAGTACCTAGAAAATCAAAAAATTCTATATTCGGGACTTTGAGGCACACTGAAAAAATGTTGAGTGAAAAGTGAGAAATTTCACATTTCAATTTTTTTCTTTTCCGCAAACTTTTCTGTCCGAATTCTTTTTATTGCGTTTTGTACTACTGGCTTGCGGCTACAAGATAGGCTACTTAACATTTATACTAACAAACTTTGAAGGAAGATATGAATTGTCAAAGACAAGGTTCTAGCAGAAGAACCTTTTTTATTTTTCAATCCATATTTTTCTGCCCGTTCGTGATATGAGTATAGATAAAGTGCGCTGCATTGCAGAAGGTTTGCTGCTTCTGATAGTTTTTACCGCATTCGGAAATGTGAATTCTTTCAAAAGTTATAGCACGTCAAAGTGAGAATTCGCAAATCGGCCACTACTTTTGCACCAACCTAATATTATTTTTTTAGCATAGAATACCCGAAGGACAACTAAATTTGGTACTTTTCGAAAACTAGGGCCTGGAGAAAACTGAAAATTTACGGTTGTACTATTAAGGGTTCGTAGTATACAAATGCTTGAGTGAAAACAGCATGGCTCCCTTTTGCACAAGCATGAAAAATTTCGTTTTCTATTTCCAAATGAGGTGAAAATCCAGGAACGGTACTTATGAGCGTCTGATGTAGTGTGCAATTTTTGTGAATCTCCAAGTGGAGGAGTCGTAGAATTTTTTTAAGCAAAGATATGAATTTTTGCAATTATTTGAGCCCTTAGTGAGACTCAGATTTTCGAAGCAAGCTAAATGTGGGTCGAAGCTGAGGCTAGCTAGGGAGCCGAGCAAATGATAATCTAATGGAGCGAGATTTGAAAAGTAGTTTGAATACTAAAGTACCTTCCAGTCAAATCGTGCAGGATAGTTTTGACGGCGTTTACCGTATAAGGCCATGTTTCGTCATGCAGAAAAACTCACTGGATTTGTCGTTAGGCTTCTTCTGCCGTAGGATTTGGTTTAGACGAAGTAATTGGATTTCTTACGTTATGGTTGACCATCTCGTACTTGTACAGCAATTTTCAGTGCAGAACGTCCTGCCCGTCCCCCAAAAAGTCTTGTTCAGGGACACCCTGCTCAATCACTGATCTTTTGTAGCAATACAATCGTTTTTTGTCTCATTTGTTGTGCGAGCGCCATGTTCCAATATCGACAAGAATATTTTGTGTAAAAACAATTCTTTTTATAAGGAAAATTGCGCAAATACCGAAATCGCTCGTTTTTTTCCTTTCAAGATTTCCCTCTTTGGAAGCTACAAGATCCGTGTGAATCAGAATTTGTAGACATAAGCACAATCAGCGCTTTTCAATGATATACGCATCTTGCCGCAAATAAACCGCTCCTCGGAGATATGAAAACGAAAGTGAAAACGCTATGAACTATGAACGACCTAATATTTCAGAAAGATATATTCAAAAGGTCATTCGCCAAAGCTCTCAACGAGTCTTTTTTTTTTATAAAACGAGCAAAGCGCAAACTGATGTCTATTTGGTGAAAAATGCTGGACAACTCATGATAATTTTGACGCAAATCATCCACCACAATCATTATATTCAGTTAAGCAATGTACCGCCTACCTCCAGAGGATTGTTTCAAAGGCAGCGTCCAGGCAGATCTGGACCTATGGGAATTTTACGTAGAAAGTACTTTTGGGGGCCTAACTAAGGCACTGCTCAAGCGCAGCGCAGGTGGTGCTCTAACGGCTGAGATATTCCCCTCGAAACTGGCCTCCGCTCGTATTTGCATGGATTCATGGCAGTTTTGCGCCAGGACAGACGCTTTGCGCTATGAATCCATGCGAAATACGATCACGGGGTCCAGTTTCGAAGGGAATATCTCAGCTGTTAGAGCACTGTCTGAGCTGCCGAGTGGGCAGTGGCTTAGTTAGGGCCCCAAAACTACTATTCACGTGAAATCCCCATGTGTCCAGGCTTGCCTGAACGCTGCCTTTAATGATGACTCAAAACCGTTTGCATGATTATCCTTGCCCATGAGGAAAGCTTACAAGAGTTTTATATCCCAAAGTTTTGATTTATATACTCTATCCATCCTCAAGTGTTCCCATTACCCTCATAAACCTTGAACAGAATCAATTTGTTGTGCAGCCTATTCTTCCTGCTTTGCATATGATACTTAATAAACCTCCGGCGGTGGTGTTGTTGTTGTTGGTGATAACATCTCAGCGTTGTACTGATCACCTAATTCAACGGCAAGCATGTTTTTGTTAGGATTGAACGAATCGAATATTTACTCTTCAAAGAACAAGTTTTAAGCAGTGGTACCAAAATTTTCATTGGTAAAGCACTTCTTTGTCTCATCAAAAAAAATCATAAGGGAATGTTCAGAACTCAACAGAAACATTCAAAGTGGCCATATATCGTCGGACTCGCTATGATGTTGGACTCGATTATATGTGTCATACATACAAAAGTACGATCACGTATTTGTATCCTTTGTAAATGCCTCATTTGTCGAGAAATCCTATTGTTCAGTTTAAAAAAGGTAAAAAATTATGAGACAACCTAATACAATACCGCTCGCATTTTTTGAAAAACGACGCAAAGTAACTCGTTCCATGTGATGACTTTATCGCAGCAAGAACATACCTCGCTTTAAAGTGAACAACTTCTTCATCCAAAGGCAACATTCGACTCAGCTCGGCGCGGCGCATCTTCTCATACAAAGTGCCTATTTGAACTCAGTATGAGGCCAGATTTTACAAATGGTTTCAGATTTTTGCTTACGTAGGTTGCCCAGTAAGGCATTGAATAAGCACTGAGTAACTTACCGTAAGTGAGAGTCTGAAACGATTAGTGGAATCTGACCTCCTGCTCAGGGCCCAGCACGAGGGTGGCAAATGGACATCGCTGAAACTACTTCTCCTTTGGTAGGTGCCAGAGTAAGCGAATATTTTGTTCAGCTTCGTTCAGCTGCAGAAGACGCGCAGGATTAATGTCTGCTGCATAATCTCTACTGCTGCTTCAGCTGCAGGTCTCGCGCAGAATCAACGTTAATTCTGTGAAAAAACTTGAATGAAAAGATCATGTCGTTAACGAGTGTTTTACATCAAACGAATAAAGCTCATTGAGTCTGTTCGTTATCGTGCTGAGATATACCTAAGATCGGTTACAGATGTTTCTATTTCCACGCTGAACGCACATTTTTGAATCTTTCTAAAAGACTAAGATGACAGAAAGATGGTCATGCGAAAGCAGGTGGAAGAACTTGCACGGCCGCACAGTACAAGAAGAAGGCGACAGCAGCAGTGGTGCAGAAGTTGTAAAACGACCTCTCCAAAGACTTCAAGAAAAGTAATGATTACAGAAGAAAATTTTTAACTTCAAAAAAAGTAATCAAATAATTACAAAAGAAAATCTTTAATCTTCAACTTCATTGTCTGCATCATTCTCCATGAAAAATGGGAAAGGTTTTCCCAGAGGCCAAAATGAGGAGGAACATGCTATTGATGTTTCTCCCGTGAAGCATGCGAAGTACACCTTGTCCACCATAGGCATTTGTAGGGTTGGTACACGTTCTAGTTCTTTGAACTGAAACAGACACTTTAGTGAAGCCTGCAAGACATGACATGATGAAATATAAATATTTCAAAAGAATAATCGTAGGAATAATTTGAATATCTCAAATTGGTTATTCGAAAAAAAAATAAGGTCTCGTTTTCCCCTCATGGTCTGCAACGTGACGAGGGGCACCTGGGTGTAGCAATAAGATTCGAACTCACGCGTTAACCCAGCTGAAGCAGACCACCCCAGTCAACATGTCGGGATCCGTTGCCACCTACCTGACAGCGCCGGTCAAGTCGCGAGGGTGCAAAAACCGTCAATGTCATTCAATCATTCGCTGCTTTGACACAACCTTAGAACGCCCCAGCTTGGCTATTTAGTTATGGCGGGAAATTTAATAGGTTTGTCAGCTTCGAATAATTGCCTAGTACCCTGCGCACCCGTGTTCGTCTGCCGTTTCTAACGTCGAACGGCAATAGGGTCGGTGAGGTGTGAAGAAATCTTAAGCGCAGGAGCGAGAGACGTTCATAGATCCGTTCGGCAACAGAGCGGATACAACGAGACATGCAGGCTGTTTTCACTCTGCACTTACAATGCAAGGACGTTATTCTCAACCTATGAGCTTTGTGTTCACCTAGACGCCGCAATTCGCATCAATTACGATGCGATTGCATTATAGAAAACCAAGAACGGAAGCCTCGGTCACAAGATGAAGAATCCTGAAATTCTTGTTTTATTAGTAGAGAAGGCTCCGACAAGAAACTTTGGAGGCATGAGTTTTATCGTGCACCCATCGTTAGCCACCTCGCCGTAAAAAATTCTGTTACCGCGATTAGTTGTCCCTTGACTTGTCCTCCACTCCAGAGAAACATAAGTGTCATTAATTGCTACTCACTTACAGAAGCATTTGATGTAAGCGAGCTTAACAAGTTTTACGAGAAGCTTGAATACGCCATCTACAAGAAGAAATCATTCCATAATTCAATAATTTTATCATTGGCGACTTTAACGCAAAGATAGGACAGAAGCAAGTCCAAGAAGGTGATATAATTGGAAAATAATTTTGTTTGGGAAGTCGAAACGAGAATGGAGACAGACACGTCGGACTCACAGTAGCGGCTCGTAGCACTGTTTCATGCAATTTTTTCTAAAGAAAGAACATCGCCGTTTGACATGGGAGTCACCAAATGGCACAGCATATACGGAAACGGTCCATATACTTGTCAGTAGGAGATGGAGTCTGGTTGATGTCGAAGTGGTACGTCGTTTTGCACAGGCTCGGTCCACCGTTTACTCCAAGCGAAGATCCGTATCAATTGGAAAATGGAGAGAAAATCTTCCCGTTGTGCGAAGTTTAAAAGAGAGGCCACGAATGACGAACGCGTTTTCGAGAACGGCAGCCGGATACTGCTGGAAGGAACGCGAAGATCCAACAGAAGGTTTAGGAAAGGTGATCGAAGGACAAGGACTACGCAGCTGTGCTGAGCAGGCAGCTCTCACCGTGGAAAGAGGTAGTGAACGTTTAACGAACAACAAAACTTCTACAGAAAAGAAGAAGCCTGCACGCAGATCCAAGTACACCAGAGAGATCTAAGTTTTTCACGAAGTTTTTCGTCCATATTGGACTCTGCCGTTCACACTGGAGAACAGCCGCTAAAAATCCTTTTTTAGAAGCGAAGCATGGCGTGCATTGAACCAGGCAGAGATTTTGGTCCGGATGGAAACATCACCAACTTATTGAGAGCCGGCAGTCACAAACTGCAACTCTACTGGCGCATATGACAGAACACATGACGAGGGAAAGGATATTCGGTAGAAGGCATCCCGCATGGTGCGGCCGTTTAAACGGTTGTGCTTCATCTAACGTCGTCGTTCTCCTACACAAAAGGCAGGAGGAAAGACTCGAAAAATTACCAACCGATCAACTTGTCAAGTGTGTTTTACAGGCTGCTTACAAAGATAATCATGTCAAGTATCTCGACGACGTTAGATGAAGCACAACCGTTTGAACAGGCCGGACTTCGTAAAGGATTCAATTGCATCGATCACGTCTCAAGGGGATCGTGGAGGGTCTCTCGCAAATATCAACCACCCTGGTCCTCAGCAAATATCAACCACCCTGGTCCTCATCTTTTTCGAACACAGTGCTTTCGAAGTGTGAGATTTAACGCCGTTTTAACAGCTTTGATCGACCAACGAGTGGATCCTACCTAACAGCAGCGGACTTCAAAACATGATGCATAACGATGATACAGCTATTTGACCATCCTCTCCATAACCACACTGGAAAAGGAATACCTCAAGGTGACACCTGTCGCCAAAGCTGTTCGCAGCCGCGCTGCAACGGGACATGCAGTGACTCAACTGGAATGAGAAGGGGATAAGAGAATGGCGATACCTTTCGAATCTCATTTCGCAGACGATATCGCTATATTCTCGAAATCCGTTGCGAGGCCGAAGACATGCTGAGCGAGTTGAATGAAAACATGAAGACGCAGTTTATGAAAAACACCCTATGCAGTAAAGGCCAGTTACATTTGGATGGGTCGCCGGTGGAAGAGACCACTTCCTAGTTTAATTAAGGCGATTATCAACATGAACAACGACAAAAAGGACGAACTTATCAGAAGAGAGAGGACGGCATGGGCAGCATTCGACTATTAAGAGAGTCAACAGAACATGTTGCTGATCCGGACCTACATGCTCACCTTTTCGATGCTACAGTTCGTCCATCTCTGTGTCACGCAGTCGAAACCTAGGCTGACACTTCAGCAACTGCGAAGGCGCTACAAGTAGCATACAAGGCGCTTGGGGAAGGTTCCAAAAGATAACAAAGTTCAAACAGTATCGACTTGGGGTTCGGAGCTCTGACCTTAGACATGTTTCACGTCTACAAGATCCAGCAGAGTACGTATCGAAGAACAAACATAGATGGGCCGGACATATAATGAGAAGGGAAGACGATAGATGGACAAGAAGAACATTGGAATTGATTCCAAGACCTTCAGTCGTCCACCTGGTAGGCCACCGAAGAGATGGTGTGACGTATTTGTTGCCCGCGTAAACCAGTTGCGCCATCAGTCGGAATATAATTCAGGATCAACCAGCAATCACAGACATGTACAAAGACGTTCATGGGACGATTACTCGAGTGCAACGAATGCTCGAAAGTTGGAACCCGCACGACGAGGCGAGGATCTGAGTAATCTGTAAGTTAAGTACAATTTTGCTTACAAAGGACAGACGATGAAGAATTCAGCGTCTCCAATACCCTTTGCGGTATGCGCTGAACATTTTAATTCATAGCCGAAAAGGCATGCGTGTAGGGCTTTTACAGTGACTTGCGGAGACCAGCCGATTAAGCCAGTGTATTTGAACTCTCTACTCTAGACCATTTCACCATCCTCTAAAGACTTATTTGGGTGGGATCAAACCGTGGTCCGATCTGGTATTATAGAAGCACCTCATACCACTACGCCACATACAGCTGCAGCATATTTCATAAATTTCAGAATGTATTCGAGCAAAATGATCAGATACACGCAAAAGAAATTCCTTCAGCACTAGTTCAAATAGTTTTTTCGAAAATTGAAAAGAATTTTCAATGGCAAATTTGAATAATTTTTCGCATAACAGCTCATGAGTCGTTGCAGTCAAGCATCACTAATTGAAAAAATAGCCGAGCTTTCGTAGAATGGTGGATTCAAAGGCACTAATGCGAAAGTTGCTGGAAGTTGCTTACCTTGAACCACAATCTTCTAGCTATTATTCTCGGAGGCGTCTCCCTGTAAATCATTGAAAATACGTAAATTGCATATCATAAATCATAAAATCTTACAGCAAAAATTCTTCGATCAACGCATCCAGGTTTCCTCTGACATTATACTTTGCATATTCTCGAGCCTTCTGTCTGTGCCGACAAGTAAATCTCTGAAATGATAATAAAAACTCGAAAAAGTCTTCGTATCCGTTTTTATGATTAGTTCAAAATTGTCAAGAATCGCTGTGCTTTGCAACTTCGGTTCGCTGCTTGTTTTTCCATAGCAAAGTTTTGCCAAAAGATACTAGTTAACTCACCAAGTTGACAGATCCCCCAGGCAACAACCATCCAGCTTCTTGCACCTCACGGCTTATTGGATTCATATCGCAATCTCTGCAAAATGCAGACACCACCTAAAAATGTTTTTTATTTTGACGAACTATTTTTAACCGAGAACTCACTAAAAGGAAGAGACAAACTAGCTTCATGCCACGTTTACTTCCCACTTCGGCTGCTCCCTTTATATCCTCGATCAAACGCACACGCAGTAAGCGTCAAAACATGTGATTCTGTTCATGAATGTATAAGCAAAATTTTACTTAGACATGTGCCTGAAAAAAAGTACAGTGGGACATATATTTGATACCTGCATTGTTCAGCTTAGCCGCAGCACCCTTGATCTGCTCCTTTCAAACTTTGACACAGTGCTTTGAAGCCGCTGACGTGCGTGCATACGTACAAGTCCGTTTGCCCTTGCGCTCAATGAGAGTTTTTCATGATATTCTTACATTTCAAACTTTCATGTCAAAGCTACGGGTTTTAGTACACTACAGAGAACTGCATTTTGCGCATATTCTACATAATATTTCTGGATTTTTTTATCTATGACCCCAGAAGGCTGCTAGCCTCCTATGGTTATATTGTATTTGGATTATTCTGAATGTGAGCATTTCACTTGCTAGATTAACAATCTTTAGTCAAAAATCTCACTCTTAAAGTAATTAAAGTTTGACTAAATTACCTAAATCTTCACTATGCTCTTTATTTAACGCTCCCTCGGCTTTTTTTTTTCAACTATAGCTCACTTGTAAGTTTTTCAGCCTCTGTTTCGCATTTTTATCTGTCTCACACATTGGCTTCTATGCTCGCATACCCCGTAAGCAATCCAAAACATGCTTGCTTCTTTTTTTCCAAGTTTTGTATGCGAGCCCTCCGCGATGCTATCCTACTACTCGAAATCTCTCACGCAATGTATCGATCCTCTTACAGGCGGCCACTTACCAGTGCGTTCCTCCTATTGGTGGTGCAAACGGCAATGATCGACCAAATGGTCGAATGATTAGCGTGTTGGCGTTTGGAGTTAACACACTTAGGTTGAACGCGATGTAGCAGTTTTGCGGCTATCTGCGTCATCAAAATTTAATGTGCGAATTGATTGCTACTGGGGTCATTATATAAGATTATTAAAACCCACAATCACTCCGCAGCTGCCGCGAAGTTGGGAACTTTCTGCGATGTGTGCCAACTTGCCGGCATCTATGATGCCACCAGGTAGAACAGATTACTACTCGCCCAGGTCAAGCCAAAGTCTCCCTGCCAACAAACCCTCTACATTTCAAGAAAAGTAGTTTGGGAGGACCAGAGTACTGATTTGTAGCCGGCTGACACTTGCAAGTCACTGAAAGGCTGATACGCTTTCAAAGTCTCTTCGACTGAATGGAATGCAGTCGGCGCAGACCTGCAGAGGCTCAGAGAATCGCCGGGACAGGCTGCCATGCAATTTACGTGGAAGAGGCACCAAAAACATAGTTTGCTGATTTCTTGCGGTCTGCTTGCAGATGGAAGAATTTTGCGAAATCTCAGACGTATGCTCAGAACAGTTGCGGCTGTTTCATAGATTATCGCGGCGCAGTGGCCGCATCCTCGAGGACCTTCGGCGAGAATATGCAAAATTATTGAGGACCGCACAGCCCGTACGGTACCTTCCGCTGAGAGGAAGTACCTCAAACTCGGGTAATCAAATCATCGATGATACCTCTTTTATGTAGAGTGTTATGTTTGCTCGGCGTAGGCCTGAAACTGCGTGAAAAGAGCCCGAGCGCCTGAAAGTTCGGCCCGTGCCCGCGCTTGCTGAAAGAAATTATTTGACGAGGGCTTGCAGAAGATTTTGTATCGCTGCCCGCTGACAGAACACAGAAGTACTGCTCGCTGAAAGTATTGCCCGCCTTACAATTTTGCTGACCGCTTGCCCCCGGCGGTTATCTCAGGGGACTGAAGACGCTTAATCCCTCATCTTTAATTTTTTTTTTTCAAATAACGGTAGGTTTTACGGATCATAAGCGGTAGTGATTTCGGCGCAGAAAGTTGTCGTTAGTCGTGTGTTTTATAAGAATTATTGAAATTTTGACATAATTTGCAATCGGACTCAGTGGACAACATGATTTTGACTTTTCAATTTTGGCGTCAATGTGAAAGACTTTGAGGAAAACGGGGTTTGTTTTTTGTAGCACGCAAAAAAATGCCTTACAAATGCTATTGTATAGCATGAAAGCAGTCAAACACGGAAAAAAAATCCAATGAGTAGGCGAGCCTATGGCCCTACTCATCAACGAACTTAAGGTAAAATTTAGCCCGAGGTGAATCATACTCAGGGTACTCTGGGCTATTTAGTATGCGTCGATATATTTCAAGGTCAGCTTTACCTTTGTTAGTATGCTATACAGTGATGTTTGTCCAAAGCAAACTGTGATATCTTGGCTGTGCATGAAGTTTTCTCTAGTAGAAGCCTTTACAGTAATGAACCTTTTCTTAAGACTGTCAGTGTCACGTTTGCAACAAAACAATTTTGAAGGTTTGAACCCCGCAGGCAAGTGCGAATCATGTTTCATAATAGGGCAGAGCGAGCTTTATGGTCATTTTCTCATTAATCTCAACCAAATGATGTAATTGCTATGGTGGGTTTAGACATCCTTCTATCCTTGCCGTTTGAGGGTTAGAAATTTTGCTGTGGTTTTTTTTATAAAATAAGGGTGTGATGTTTGATGGATAGGATTAGTTGGTGAGGCTACCTTGAATAGAATTTACTTTAAGGTATTATTCATTCCACAGCAAACCATTCTCAAAATAGAACTAACCTTGGACATTTACTTCAAGCTTTGACGGAACACGGATTTTAAAGGCAGCGTCCAAGCAAATCTGGACATACGGGGCTCTCATGTGGGTAGCAATTCTGGGACCCTAAGTTAGCCACTGCCCAAGCGACAGCTCGGGTAGTGCTCTAAGAGATATTCGCCTTGAAGTTGGACCCCTGATCGTATTTAGCATGAATTCATGGCTCGACCCAAGGGTCTTCGCGCGAAATTGATGGCTTGCGCATGCGAAATAAGATTCCGGGGTTCAGTTTCGGGGCGAATATCTCAGCCTTTAGAGCATTACCTGAGCTGCCGCTTGGGCAGTGGCTTAGTTAGGGCCACAAAATTACGATCAATGTGAGAGCCCCATAGTTTAGATTTGCTTGGACGCTGCCTTTGAGTGTTAATTCTACCTGGAGGTAGAATTAACCTCAAGATAACAATGAAGAATACAGCCGCTGTATGTGGTGCACCATTCGCCCTCGCCTATGCATCCATTCAAGCATAAAAAAGCAACAACTTACGTTACCGGAACTGTTAGCCGTATCACTTTTCCCTCACAATTTGCTGTTGACAAGTACCTCTCGACTTACATGAAAAATCTAAGGATTAACATGGATCAATTAACACGGTTCAAATAAATTTTTCTAAAACCTCGTGAAAATCTTTATGAGGTGCTACAATGTATTAGACTGAAGATTAAGTTTTTATCATTTTCATAACTTTCCTTCTTCCGAGTATGACACACGTATTCGCATCTATTCATGACAGCTTGCGTGAGGATTCCCGGAGGAAAACCGCCCATTCTTCAAAGTCATTTTTTTCAAAGTTAGTGAAAATATTCCAGAATACTGATTATCTGTATTGATTATCTAATAGTGCTAACCATGTTGCTGATGAGAACAAATGGGTTTCTGAAATATCGAGCTTTTCGATAAACCCCAACTTTCGACTTGTGGTTCATTGAAAATCTCACGACTCCAAAACATCATTTGTTCTTATCAGCAACATGTTTAGCACTGTTGGGTTAGACAAGCAGTACAACTTTGCAATGTTTTCATTAACTTTGAAGAAGAAAAAATAACTTCAAAAAATAGAAGGTCGTCCCCAGGGATGACCAGAGGATCATACAAAGCTGGAAAATGCACAATGTACAGCTTCTTATAGGAATGCTTACTGGTAGACAGCGTGAAATCTAGAGATCTGGAACTTCAGGATATGAAGCTTTCTTTTAAGCTGCGATCCCCTCTCGTGGTACGATTTTTCAACCTGTCAACAATTGAGTATGACATCAATGTACAACAAATCAAACTATCGCACTAGTCAAGTCTCGGCGGATTTGCTGTTCAACTCTTTGGCACTGAAGGATTTCAAAGCTGCACTGACGCTCTTGACTCTCTCGTTTTTTGAGGGCGCCAAATTTGTCTTCATCACGAATCTTTTTTGGCTGATCTCGGTACTCTAACTATAATTTGCTGGACAGTTCGTTTCGATGCGTCTGATTGAAATCGTGCACCACTTCATTTTTGCTGCAAACCTCAAACTCAACTGCTCCAAAAAATGCTCAAATTTTTTTCGTTGTTTTTTGAAGGCAAACTGGATGTGCAATTCGTGGCTCACAGTATGCATAGAACATAACGTAAACTGTCACGGTGTTTGTGAAACCTAATTTCTCACTCAGAACCTCAGGTTTTGCAAAATTTCATAACTTTCTTAGTAATAATGCTTTTGTTGTCATCACTAAATCACTGATCTTCTCTCTTTCCATTGATTGCGGTGCAGACCTTCCAGGACTATGCAACAGTACGGTAGGCTATATTTTCATTTCCCTTAAATCTTTTTCATTTTTCAAACTGTATAGTATGACTGTTATTATGTGCAAAAAATGAAGATGAAGTGTACTGATTTCCAGCGTACAAGGCGCGGGGAATCTTTTTCAAAATCAAGCAGTATAAACAATCCAAAGAACTTCGTGGCCAAAGAATTCTAACCGTGCCGCATGTTACCTGAGAGAATTGTGCGGCATAAGATTCGCTTTCCGAAACACAGTGGAGCAGCTGTGCGCTCTTTGAAAAACCAAAAAGTGGGCTTGTATGCGTGAAATGAGGGTGGGAAGGGAGTTATGAGGGCACGCTTTTTACCGCGGTGCTTGTATCTGCATTTTCCAACATTTCGACCAGAAAACTCCTCTCTTTCAAAGTCAAAGTTTATCTTTCTATAAACTCAATGGAAACGTCGAAAAGTTTGCTAAGGATTTATGGCAGTAATGAGCATTCGAAATATTTTTTTAAAAGACTTCGATTGGCGAGCAGTGGTTCGTCGTTGTCATTCTGACATCGTTTATGTCTACCACAATG